GGGGGGGTGAGGTAGCTCGAGCGGGTGGGTGGGGTAGGTGGTGGCACCCTCTGGCCAACATGCCCACTCAAAAATCAAAAAATGCGTTTTTTGGGGCAACCCTAGCTCTTGCTCTCTGTCGTTCCAATGAACATATTTTGCAATAAATGCTACACTAGTGATACATATCGTCATCGCATCGCACGCTGAAGCATGCCCCGCTCTGGGTAGGCCACCGGCACCACACAGCTGTGTGGCGGGTTAGCCTACCCAGCTCGTAGCAGAAGCTATCAATAGTGTCTCGTACATTGGGGACCAGAGTTCTGCAAAATCGCCCTTTTTCGACCGACCGACCGAACTTCGAAATCCGACATTAGTCCGAGGTGACGAGGGACTGATCGGGGGGTAATCACTACAGACAGACCTTTCTAAGTGACAAAAAGTTGACTGAAAGTGACGAAAACTGAAAGAAAATGATGACAAAAGTGACTAATCGTGCGTTGATCAGATCAAAAATGAATAAATTAGAGGGGATATAGGCATAGAAATGAAGTAAACGTTGAAAAACGGTGAAAAATTGAATGAAAGTGGAAAAGTGAAAAGTTGAGGTTACGCATTTTCACGGAGTGATTACCCCCTCCGATACGACACTGCTCCATCAATTGAGAGGTCCACGTCAATAAATCAGATTTCCTATGCTTTCCTACATAATTCCGACGCATTTCCGACCAACTGGACGTCGGGCCGGCCCAACAACAGGGTGGCATGCGAAGCAACAACCATTGAACAACCCTTCCTATACACTCCCGCCTACATTTTGAATACACAGGAAGGAGGGGGGGGGGGCTAGGTGTCCTGTTCGGGGTGACGTGTTTGTTTCATACTCGACTGCGTGCGCATGCAGTAGAGACAGTCGACAGGCGAGCGGGAGCGGAGGAGCAGTGGACCGTCTAGTAGTGTGTTATCTTTATCGTTTAGTCAGAGTTTTGTTGAAAATTATGGGGAAGCGAAAGCAAAATAAAAAGTGGCAGGCACCCCGGTCGCCACCACCACCACCCCCGACAGCTCCACAGCCACAGCCGGCCCCGAGCCCGACCTGCAGCTGCCCGACCCAGAGATACATCATCACCGTTGGGTATGTTTCCACTGTGGGCGTCCATTAAAACCTGGAACACATCACCCATCCCTTATTATTTCAGATTTTGCTGTTATTTATGCAGCCCAAAAGTTTGCTATATGTACATTGGAAGTTTCTGAAAGCGAGGGGTGTGAAGCACCCCTGTCAATGTGATCACCTCTAATTCTGCTAAATTCAAAATCTCAGACTAATTTCAATTTATCTGAAACGAATCCATAATTAATTTAACTAATTCAGTCGAATTCAAGACAATTTACATTCAATTCATGTCAATTCGAGCTAATATGTCTCTATTGGACCTTCAGTGATACGAAACCATTGAGAAACGCACAAACTTTAACTTCAACTACCCAAGTAACAGACATGTCATCAATACATCAATATGACATCAAATTTTGGTCAATTTTGTTTTAGTCACTATGACGTGTTTTCCATTGAAGAACATGACCATTTTCTGATGTCAAAATGACATTATAGTGATAATACAGAATTTTTAAACAAATAATATTGCTGGCCACGTTGTAGGACCTTGCCACACTCTGCTTGATCTCCATCTACTCTCTCTACTTTGCACCGCCAGAATTTGACATGAAATGCTATCTGCCAGTGGGATTCGAACCCACAACCTTTCAATCCTAGTAGTGACTTGCTACCCCCTGAGCCACACATGGATGTGAATAGCATTGTCTTACTTGCTCCTAGTGGTGTAAACCCATGTTTACATCAGCTGATGTCATTGACGTAAACATGACAGTTTCTATTATTGGGGCTCCAGCGGTGGAAGGGGAAGGGGCTCGGCTCGGCTCTCAGGACTCGGCTCGGCTGCGCCTGGCCGACGTAGCTTGGCTGCGACTCGGCTCGTCTCGGCCGTGCGGCGACGGAAATCGAGCCTCACTGCCTCAGCCTCAGCCTCAGCCTCACCATCCCGCCTAGCACAATATATTAGATTGCTGGCCCGTCTCCCGCTTCTCTGTCCTTACCGAGAGTTAAAGCAATGACACCTTACCTAAATATACTTATGTTTACTTATGTTTAGTCTGAGTTAAGTAAGGTTTGTAAGGTATCATCTGCTAAAAACATTAATATTACTTGCTGGAGTGCAGGGCAAATAAACCTCGTGTCCGTCTGTGAGTGACTGTTCCACTAGGAGGAAATGTGCTAGAGACTTGATATTTTCAGGGTATCTTATGGTCCACTCTTAGAGAACGAAACGCCTATGGCAAATCCGGCAGACCCCTCATGGTGTGAATGGGAGTATTCAAGTTTTTGCTCCACCTCTAACCGTTTAGGCGCTAGATGGT